GCTGTGCACCAAAGACTACGCTCTCCACCTTCACCAATGTGCGCTGAGCACCGCGGAGAAGTATGGTCAATTAGTGGCGACGTACCGCGCGCGGCTTGAGGAGGGGCCTCATTCACGTGCGTCTCTATTGAATTGGGCGAGAGGCACTCTGAAGTGCAATCACGTGGTCGCGCACATTAACACCCCCAAAGCGCGGCGACTCCTCCGCTCATCCTGCGTTGCCCACTCGAGCCGCGCGCCTGCTCAGGGTTACAAACTTGGGAAACAAAAAGCACGATCGCCATTGGGCGTCTATTCACCCAAAAATGAAAATCAACAACCCCGCAAGCTCAAGGTCTCCCCGTTGAACAAGGGACGGCCGGGGACGGGGCTGGGTGCCGTCGCCGGTGATGAATCGGAGACGCCGCGCGGCGGCGGCGGCGCCGGCGGCGGTCCCGGCTTTCATCGGCGCCGCTGTCTGCGAGGTGCGTCCCGCGGTGGCCTTGCGAACGCGAGTCAAAGGGCGCTCTCCGGGAGCGCCTTTCAACGCCGCGGGTTGTCCGCGTGTCCACGCTCCCGCGAGGGGGCCGGGTGGGGGGCGGGTGGCGAGTGGGGGGGGGGCCCACTTCCCACGAGCCGCAGGCTGCGTGGGAGGTTCGCAGTGGCGCGGTGGCTCGCCCCCCCCACCCCCACTCTGCACGTGAATAATCGTCGAAGCAATGGAGAAATCTGGAGCTACCGCTTGGAGGGAATATTGAGCCAGATGTAACTGAAATATTTTCCATGAGATTTTTGGGTGGGGGGTGGGGGGCGTTATTCGAAAGATTTATTCCCCACGTTGTCACTCACTACATTGAGCTGTAATTGAAAAAAAAACTCATATGATACCGACATTTTGCTCTGGGCTTGGCAGGCTCAGCGGGGATGGAGGGATGTCAAACAGGTTATGACAGCGCGATGACAGAATGGGAATACCGCAACAGAAGCGGCTACAGCAGCAACCCCACGCTTAGGGTGGTTACCTTGCAGTGCATTTATTATCCACTTGCGTCTTTGCTGGAACTGATCTACAGACGGTCCATTCCAAGTGAACGACTACAATAAAAAAAAATGTAAATGTTAACAATTATGCACAGCCCCTTATCAATCCACCACTTAGTCCATGAGCAGCCCAGGCCAGAAACCACACCTGGCGGTTACACCTAAAGGTGGCATCACTTTGGCGGCTCCAATTTCTTTACGTGGCCAATGACAGTGAATTTATGTGATAATCCTTTGACATGAATTCGGTTATCACGTGATGATTCGCTCTCATTGGCCGTGTACATGAAATCGGAGCCCGTCAAGTTTCTGCTATCTTGGGTGGCACCGATTTCCGTTGTGGCCTGTGGACTCGGTGGATGAAGATGCCATGGGAGAGATCTCGGTGGGGGTTGTTTGACTTCACCACACCGGTCAGTGCGGCGAGATGAAGTGGAACCCTGGACCACCAGTCAACCCCAGATGGTATGAATTAAAATAACAAATGGGAACAATAAAATTAAACACATTCTAAATGGGGAACCGGGAAGAGAAGAAGACATAACAAGGCATGGCTGATCGACATAAGAGATTTGGTGCTTGAAAGACGTGGCACTACTTGACCACACTGGCACAAAGCAGAGAAAAGTGGAAACAAAATGTCGAAATGTGCAGTCGATATCTACGGGCTATCTGCCTATGGATCGTGGTGATGATGATAAAATCTGGATACTCGGTACGTTTATGATTGTGACAAAATACAAATCTTTTCCAGCCAGGTGGCTCAACGGTAAAGCGAGGTTGCCAGTTAAAATCCTGATTGAAGGTTAACTCAGCCCTCTCAACACAGAGCCCCCCTTATCCTCCCCCTTCCCCTGTTGTAGGAATGTGTAATTTGCACATTCAGTGTTGAGCCCTTTGCTTGAGTTTCTCGCGGTTTCAGCCGCCCATCCTGACCGCCACTCTCGCTGCTGCCCTTGCTCAGCAGTGAGCGGCCCCGTGCCGCCTGATCAATCGGACAGACGTTCAGGTGCTTGATGTTCAGGTGTTTGATCATCTTCCCGGGCACCCAGCAGCAGCGAGCGGAGTGGCTGTGCGCGCTCGCTCAGCTGGTGAGCTCGTTGGGTCAGTGGGCGTCTGCGCCATCAACATGCAGGCGGGCGGGTGGGCGGGTGCTGAAGCTCCCATACTTGACAATGTCCGGGAGCCATGAGGCCAAGATCGATGTCAAGGCCCTTTCGCGACGTGTGACGTCACACAGCGTTAACGGGAGGCGAGCGCATGACGTGTGACATCATCACATCAGTCGACAAGGCTTACGCGCTAAGCGATGGGTTCTTTTTTTCGTACGTTTTGGGCAACAGTTGGATAAACTGGGCCAGGTTTCTCGAGAAAATGTCCCTAAATAGCAACACAACTGTACACAGACTTATCGTGCATCCTGGATCATCAATACGAGAGTTATCTGGACCGCCCACTCATACAGAGAGAGCTCATACATGAACTCTCGTAACTTTGGTTACACGGGACAATTGTGAAACATTCAAGACCTCAAAATCCTAAGACTGAAGCTAGACCCCAGACGCCAAGATTAAGGATTTTAAAAAGTCAAAAGTGATTTCCTGCTCAAATAAGCCTTGAGGTGGTGCTGAGAACGTGTTGAGATTTCCACATTACAATGGCAGGGGTGAGCCTATCCACAGGACAACCACTGCTGAATTAATGGACTGAGTCAACCCCCAACCAGGATTTGAACTCGCAACCTTTCCTTATTGCGAACTTGCTCGCGCTCTCTCGCTCAGGTGCTGCGGCACCGGCCCGGGATGAGATGACGGACGATGGCCTAGAGCACGATAGAGTGTTCTAGGCCGGCCTGGGGGCTGGGGACCAGACTCGAGGGCCCAAGATGGAAGGCAGCTCTGCATTGTGTGTGGGGCATTGATTCCTGTAGCAGGACCCTGCTGTCTCTCCCCGAGTGCTCACCGCGTCTGGCGAGGCTGCCTGGGCCCGTGCGGATCAATATTGATCTCTACCCCGCACACGGCACCCAAAGTGCATTCCCATTAGGCGTCGGTCTGGTTCGAAACTAATTTCAATTTCGCAGTCGTGAGTATAAACATTATCTTTTAATATTCGGCCGAAATTATCCGGGTCCTTACCGCGATGTTTAAGCGGGCATGTGAAGGTGGGAGTCACATTGGTTTGAAAAATCTGCCGGTCACGTTGGGTTAAGAGGGTGTCATTAAGCTGAACGGCAGATGTGAAATGTCTCTCTCGACCAATCTGTATTGGAATGTGTTGCAGCAGGAAAGTCTGTCTGGATCGGAAAAGCAGTGTAAGACACTGCCGACGTGACGATTTTGTTGAACGACTCGTGCTTAATTTCTTTACGAATAATTTAGCATTTTCTCATCGCCGTGGCCGGTTCTTCAGGCTTCATCATTCAGAGTCCGGTGCACGCTCGCAATGCACTGAACCGCGGACAGCGACCACTGCTGAGCGCGAGTGTCCGAGTAATTGGGTTACGGGGCAAGGGGGTAATTCGTGGATTTTCTTCCACGAAAAAAATATAGACTGCTTATTAATCATTTCCATCCTAAAATGTTTTAAATAACGAGCAAGCAATTACACGTGCATTGACCACCAATTTCAATCTCGTTGGCGATAAAGTTTTCTCAAAAAATCCTGTTAGCCGCCAGGACTGCACGCCATCCCTCTTCTTGACAGTAATGCGATGTGACGAATGTTGTTTTATGCCCCTGTCGAGTTGGCATTGCGCGCGGAGAAGAGCGAATGCTTAAGGAGCTTTTGCTTCGCGTCATTTTGATAGAAAGCCCCCACCGAGTGACCACTGCCCGTTTAGGTTGAAGCAGAGATCGACATCGCACGGCACGGCCACTCTGCACCCCCCCCCCCCCCACCCACCTCTCCGTTTCTGAAACGTCTTCCATTCGCTGCGGTCGTGAACGACAAGAGTCACGAACGTGTGGTTCTCATGTTATGCGCGATGTTGGAGAAGGTGCTGAGCAGGTCAGCAGATCCCAGTTTTCTGCGGGGGGGGGGGGGTGCATGGTGCCAGTTGTGTTGTGTGCTGTTGCCTGGCAACCAGAGGTTCGTGGCCCGAGCAGCCATGCCCGGGTCACGCGTGCGCGCCGCGCGTGCCACGTGTTGCAAGGGGTTCGCGGTTCCAGTCAGAGCTGCCACCCTGGTAAATTCTGTGGGCGTATTAACCACAAATACGCACCGCTTGCTCCGCAGCGGACGTTAAAGATCCCGTAAAATATTTCGATACAGCGTGCTCCCGTTGTGTGCCAGTGTTACGATCGTAATTTGCAATTTAAAAAAATAACTTGCGAAAAACATGTTTTTGTTTAAACCTGCATGGCTGGCAGACCATACCTGTCTGTGAAACACGTGGCCTTCCGTCGTGAGAGCCTTTCTTGCGCTATTAGAACGGCACGAATGCCAAACGTACGGATGGTTTTTATTATTATTATTATTACCACCACCAAAGTTATCGGTGGTGAGGCTCGCGTGAGAGACGAGGGCAGCAGCATCGGGTGTCGGGTTTCATCTTACAAGGCACTCACCACTCGGCTCGTTGCCTTTATGTACTCACCCACTCACCCGTTATCTCGCTCTCTCTCTCTCACCGTGTGCAACCTCATTATATAATTGTAGCTGCCTATGATCGGTCCCTATGTATGTATGTTGATGTTTGTGCAGTATGTCGAACTTCTTTCGCACCGTACGTAACCAACGGTGCCAATCGGCTGTGCGGAGGAACGACAACAAACTTCATTTCTCACCCGACACATTTTTTTTATATTTTTTTTGCCCTGATTTGTTTTTTTCTTTACCGCTTCGCCGCTTTCGTCAGGCTGGTGACCCGGGTCAACTCTTTTGCCCAAGTGAGACATATTTTTGTTTCACTGCTCCCTCGAGTGCTCAGCCGGCCAACCAAAATAAAGCGAAACTCGCGCGATTGTCTCCTCTGGCAGCAGGCGCGTGGACTGACAGCGCCATGGCCCAGCCGCCGCTGGGGCCGCAGGAAACCCGGCTCCTGGCGCCGGCCGTGCTGGCGCTGCTGGCGCTGCTGCTGCACCAAGCGCCGGCGCTCTGCCCCCGCCGCTGCGTCTGTCAGAACCTGTCGCCTTCCATGGCCACGCTGTGCGCCAAGAAGGGGCTCCTGGCCGTGCCGGCCACGGTGGACCGACGCACCGTGGAGCTTCGCCTCGCCGACAACTACATCACGCGCCTGCGCCGACAGGACCTGGCCAACATGAGCGGCATGGTGGACCTGACGCTGTCGCGCAACGCCCTCGAGGAGGTCGAGGCCGGGTCCTTCGCCGACCTGCGCGTGCTACGCTCGCTCTACCTGGACGGGAACCGGCTGACGAACATCAGCGCGGAAACCTTGCGCGGCCTCGCCAGCCTCCGCCTCCTCACCGTGAGCTTCAACCAGCTGGATCACATCGCCGAGGGCGCCTTCGACGACTTCCTGCTATCCATGGAGGACCTGGACCTCTCCTACAACAGCCTCGAGAAGGTGCCGTGGGAGGCCATCCAGCGCATGACCAACCTGCACGCCCTGGGCCTCGACCACAACCTGCTGGACCGCGTGGTGGCGGGCTCATTCGCGCACCTCTACAAGCTCGCGCGTCTCGACCTCAGCTCCAACCGCCTGCGCACGGTGGCGCCCGATCCGCTGTTCTCGAGGGCGCAGGGCGCCGGCGGGGGTCTCCTGGCGGTCAGCTTGGCCGGCAACCCGCTGCACTGCAACTGCGAGCTGCTGTGGCTGCGGCGGCAGGAGAGGCAGGACCTGCTGGAGACCTGCTCGTCGCCCGCGCACCTCGCGGGCCGCGCCTTCTGGGCCGTGGGCGAGGACGAGTTCGCGTGCGAGCCGCCGCTCATCACGCACCACACGCCGCGCCTCGTCGTGCTGGAGGGCCAGCGAGCCACGCTGCGCTGCCGCGCCGTGGGCGACCCCGAGCCGCGCGTCCACTGGCTGGCGCCTGGCGGCCGCGTCGTCGGCGCCTCGGGCCGCGCCGTCGTGCACGCCAACGGCACGCTGGAGATACTCTCGGCGTCGCCCAGGGAGGACGGCACCTTCACCTGCTTCGCCTCGAACGCCGCCGGCGAGGCCATCGCCAACGTGGAGCTCAGCATCATTCACCTGCCGCGGCCTCCAAACGAGACCGGGTGGGCGCGCGAGCCCGACCCGGGCTCTTCCGACATCGCCACGCCGAACAGGCCCTCGTCGTCCATGGGGCCCGGCACCAACGCGAGCGACAACAAGGCGCACCACAAGCGGCGCGTGGCGGCCGTCGACGTGGCGGCCACCTCGGCGCTGGTGCGCTGGACGGCGTGGAAGGGGATGCGCGGCGTGCGCATGTACCAGGTGCAGTACAACGGCAGCGTCGACGACTCCTACGTGTACAGGCAAGCCCCGGCGCGCGTGCAGCACAAATGGAAGTTTGTGTGTTCATTCACTCGTGCATTCATTCGCGACATTGCTTCATTCGTTGTAACAAGTCATTCTTGTGTTGCTTCTTTTCTGCATGCATTGGGTTCATTCGTTATTTATTGAATTCATTTGGTGCATTCGTTGTTTCAGCATGCATTGTTTCCCGTGGGTTGAAAACTCTTTCTGGTGCCTTCTTTCTGCGCGCCATCCGCCTCCGCATGTTGAAGTCCAGGTTCGATTCCCGCGCTTCAGTTTCCTCCGTCGCTTCCCCATCCCCGCTTCCCCTCTCTGCCACCCTCAGTCATCGCCTCCTCGCCCCGCCTTCATACCTCTTCCCACACTCAAGACGTAAGGCCGACAGTTCGACGCAGTTGTACATCTGACCGTACGTACTGCGTTGATCACGTGATTTCGGAAGACGACGTTGGTCACGTGATTTCGGAAGAGGACGCTTCTGTAAATAGCATCGGGCAAACGAGCGCCTTAAACAAAATAGCAGCAGTGTTTATGCTTCTTACAAATGTGCCAAACATAAGCCCGATCTCGCATTCCCTGGGAGGTGTCTGCGGCTCCGGTATTTTCAAACTCTGGCAGCGAACGGTGTGCGGGTGTGTGGCAGCGTCCACACACGCGCACACTCATCCACATGTCAGTTTTGCTCCACGTTGCGGTTGTAGGTGGAGAAGATATTGCTCATATTATTTTTTTTTCCTGTAACGGGCTAATTCAAATGTCGCCTTTTTTTTCTCTAGCCCCGCGTGCGTGCGTGCATACACGCGCGTGTGTGTGATTTCAAAGTTAGAGTGCGTGGGATTGTGCCTTTGTGCTCGCAGGGATGGCCCGTGGCCCGGCAGGGCGTACGCGGCGCTGTGTTTTGTTAATTCCTGGCGCCTTTCTTGCGCGGTGACATTTTTATAACGCCGAGGCCGGAGAACGTGACCCCCTTCCCTTTCGAGCCACCATGAAAATAACAAGCCCTCAATGGGCGTTACCACCACCCCCCCCCTCCACCCCACCCCACAATGTCTGTCTGTGTATGTATAAATGTGCGGTGCAATAATCGCTAAACAGGGAGAGGGATGGTCGAAAAGAATGTGGCCTCAACGCACTGAAAATTGACCGCTTAAAATGCCACCAAAATCGTCCGAAGATTTGGTCGTGGAGATGAGGTGGATGCTTGGGTGGCTGCTGCTGCTGCTGCTGGGGCTGTTGTAAAGGAGACGAGCTGGCCGCGAGGATGCAGGGGCTCTTCGCGTCCGTGTAACTCCGCTTTATTAATAATGCAGAGCTGTGCTTCTACCGCATTATTGCGTGCACGCTCGGTACCGTTTTTCATCTCAGCGTGGGGCTGTGTCTCCTGTAATGCAATGCGCCTGTCCCTTTCTGTTGTTGTTGCTGTGTTGACGGGAAGTGGAGGGTTACGTGGTGCATATGGCAGATAGCTGGATGCTGTTCCAGGTGGCCTGTGCGGGAATGCGAGATGTATTTTTTAAATTGCATCGCACGCCCTCGGAATGCGAATTAATGCAGATCGTGTAGCGTGCGCTTGGGTGCCGCACAGTGGGAGGGAATTTGCAAAACGCTGTGACGGAGAGGGACGCTTAATTAATTATACTAATTACCTGAGGCTGGCCTGCAGGGCTATCTGTCTTTTCTGTCTGTCAGCCTGTCAGCTTGTCAGTTTAAAAAAAAAAAATGAACGTTCAGAGAAATAAAAACATCACCCGTTTCCCTGCCCGCCACAGGGCCGTGAAGCAGATGTACAAGAGGGTGATTAAGAATTCTTTGCAATGAGCTGAAATGAATTTTGAATGAACACAATTGATGTCCCTTATTTATGCCACATCTTAACTCCGGCAATTCATCTTCACTATTTCAACGCACCACCGTGGTTTTGCTGACCTGAGAGTCTGCAATTTTCATGGCCCTCCGCATCGGTCTAATGAAACCAGACAGCAGAATGTGGCTTCTCTCAACATAATTACGTTACCGAGGGTGCGGTCGGTGGAACAAAACAAAAAAAAGCCCCCACGCAAAGTACTTGCAGGGAAATTCATCCACCGGAATTGTTGCGTTCAAAAAAAAATATTCAGTTGATGCGACAATCGCGTGCGTTGTTTGTGCACAGCAATGGGACTTACTTCCCATTTGAAAATAATAGATAGAGTCGAACTGGTGAAGTATCGAAGCTGCGCGAGGAAATCATTCGCATCGGGGAGTGAAAGCTGTATTTGCAAATGTCCCCAACGGAGGCCAGCGGCAAAATGAAATGTATCTGAGCGCACGATGGGTGGTGATGATGATTGATAATGATTTACAAATGCAACCCTAAACTGTTGGACATATCCCCAGTCGGGACTCGCGTTAGCGCTCCTCGGACATCCAAAGGATCCACGCCGTAAATAAAACATCGCGCTTTGCATGACCGAAAAGGTCAGAAGAGAGAAAAAAATGTTTGTATTCTTGCGTAGCCAACACGGGTCTCAAAAATATGGATCGAGCTCGGCGCTTCCTTTGAGCAGTTGCCACCACCATCGACGTAAGCCCCCCCCCCCCCCCCCCCCCCCCCACTGAAATACCTCCACTCTGGAAGATTCACAATCAGCATGGCAGTGCTTTGAAATGCAAATGCACGGAAGGGCATAATAGTCGGCGCGCTTTCTGGCTAGAAATATTTTTTGGCAAAAAGGCCTCTCGGGTGCCTAGATCGGTTTGGAATTGCGGGGTAGGCTTCCGTCTCCCCAGGCAGCCCGAACGCCAAATGTGCGCTATCCCGTGCAACATTACAGCGCGAGTAATCGCGACGGCACCACGCGAGAATGCTGATGGCACGGAAAAGCGATGCTTGTGCGCAACAACAACAGACTGAAAGTGTTTGCCTGTTCACATCTTTTGTTTTCTTACCGCTACTACGATCATTTATTTATCATTGAATGACTTCCTTAACATTCATCCCAGTGTTTTTCAAAGCGATCAATTATTTATCCGCAGCTTTATTTTATACACAAGAAACCAAACGCTTTCAGTAATGTGCGAATGTATCGCCGCCCCGTTTGTCTCACTCGCTAGCTCTTCTCGTGAGAAACTTCACTTTAAAAAGCTTCACCTGTGGTAAGTTTAATGGCCTCATACAACTGTCCTCCCCCCCCCACCCCCATACGCGCCAACATAATGAGCAATTACAGCCCCATCATTAATGCAGCAAATAGCTGTTGCCATTCTGCAGCCTAAATGACTCCGCTGATGGGTCGATGGAGATATTCCTGTCAAGAGCAGCGCGGACGACGACGACGATGATGATGAGGATGACGATGACGCATCAGTTTTGAATACATCTCAGCAAAGCGAATCATTTACAGCTTGAGCCGTCGCCACTGACCTCACAATGCCTTATCAATTTGTCAATTAGTTACCAAACCATAAATGTTGCAAATGGGCCTGTTTTTTTTCCAATGTAATTGAAACATTAATTGTTGTGACTTCACCTTCCTTATTAATTCACGGAATGACTCGGGACATATTAGCCCGCGCAATCTTCGCACGCGCGCGCCTCTTTGCCCGGTACCACCCTGGGAAGGCGGCGCTACGGTGATTTGCTGTTTCATTTGCGGTTGCGAAAAAATAGCTCGTTCTGGCCGTTCCCCGGATATAAAAATAGACACCACTGTGAGACTCATCCGGATCATTCGTCAAGCTCGGAGCCGATGCCGTTCTGGAGCCATTAAGATCGCGGTGCGGGGAAGCGCTCAGTGGAAGACGAATGGCTCTTGGATTGGCGGGGGGCGGAGGGACTCTGTCCAGAGCCATCATCACGGAGATGCTGGCACTCTGCAGTGCAGCTACCTTGGGGGGAGCGGGTGGGGTGCAATTCTTCATGCCCCATTATTCTGCGAACCGCCGTAACCACACCTAAACCCGCCCCTCTCTCTCTCTCTCTTCCCACCAAGGGGTTCAGAGGTCGAATCCGGCAGGCCGTCCTGGTTAATACTAAAACGGATTTGACTGGGATTTGGCCAAACATCCCCATTGCTTAAAATGTACCTGTGAATTAGTCGATTGGAATTTCACACAGTAACATCGCCACCCTATTGAGAAAACTCGGTAAGAGCCGCCTAAAATATAGCCTTGAGGCTCACTGAGGCTTTCCTGGGCAGACAAGTTGAATCACGATAATAACAATGCTGCAGTCGTATTGACAACATCATACTGCTGCCAAGTGCACAATAAATCCCGTGACATCATTTGAAGAAGGGTAGACCGTTTCGTGCAAGCATCTATGGTCCCAACTTGCTAAATTTGAAAAATTTACTCGCAAAATCATTAAATTGAGAAACACGGCAATCGTGGCCACCTCCCGCGAGAACTTGGCAGGACCCTCTTGAAAACGAGTCTTGAGACTCGGTGAGACTTCCCTGGGTAAACAAGAACAGTAATCTTAAGTAATATTAATTAGACAAAATAATGACACTGATAATTCGCTGCAGGAAAAGAAACCCACATTCCTTCCATCCACTCCGCGGGCAACCCCCTTCAGAATTTGATGTGGCACAAGGCTTTAAAATATGTTAATGTGGTGGAAATGGTAATAGTATGTTAATAAAACATTAAGAGAGCGCAAAACCCCCTAATTAATGTATTATTTATGGCCGACAGTTGCTGAAAATGAACAGTTTCCCCTTATGGCTTCATTAATCATCTCGGCTCGGCTCTTGTGTGACCCGCGCTTACAAACGGAGGGCATCTCGCACACGAGGATCAGCATCTCCTGAGCCCTGCGCCTCCTCGGCTGCTTGACTGCTGCTCGTAGAAGGGTGTTGTCTCCCCCAGACAATCAAAACTCGTACGAATCTTGAAACAAAAACGAGAAATCCGTCTCACTCTTATCCGAGCGCTTTGCTTTTTTCCCTCTTCTCCCACTCTCGGTCTACTTTGAAAGTATCATGCAGATAAGGGGCAACCCGAAGCCGCCCAGATA